TCCTCATATGTAGAGGTAGACCTCACTCATATCCTCAGCCCCCATCCAGAGAGCCCTCCTCAAAGAGCCACCTGCAGGCACCGTTAGTTCCCTTGACCTCATATAATGCCTAACATCTCCAAACCCCCCAGGCTTTACAATTTATCATCATGGCTCTGAACAGATCCTATCACTCAACAGCTCCCCTGTAAGCCCACTTCTGCTTATGCACAATCCACCTCTGGCTAGCTCTCCAAGGAGTATAACTAAATACCCCAGAGGCCACAAGTCACTGGAAAGGTTTATTTCCATTTCCCAGGTTCTGGGTGTGGATTCTCTAAGAACTGGCACCTGGCGATTGTAAAAACAATGAAGAAAACAAAGTATGAGGACACCTGTCTGGCCTGAGCTCCAGGTCACGGGGGACACAAAACAGCATCTTTTAGTGACAGCCTGTGGGTGGCAATAATGACAATGTCAGCTCTTTTTTTTTTGAGCATTTATTGACTGAATGCAAATCTTCTAAGGACTTTCCACTCTCACAACAAATCTATTTTAAAGGCACAAAAAATATTCAGAGTTTAGTAACATATAGGAGAGGAGGAGGGTCACTAATATTTTACATCCAGCTCAACCGGTGCACTGTAAGCGGTACTAATGGGGTTGGACACTTCACACTGGTAACTCCCAGCATCCTCCCTCCTGACGGGGTCTATGGTGAGGGTTCTGTCGTTCCAGGACAGCTTCATCCGCTCCTTCAGGCGCAGATTCATGCCATTGAAGAGCCACTGGGTGGAGACTGCATTTGTGTCACAAGTCAGGACCACGGAATCCTTATGTTCCGTGACTATGGTGTTGCTGGCTATGAGAGTGGGAACTCTCACTCGCTCTGTGGAGAAATAGAGGGCATGGGTAATTGAGAGTGGCTGGGGACCCGGGCCATGATAACTCCTCAGATATCTTAGCCACTCTGAGTCCACTGTGAGCTCTTCAAGGTCACCAGAGGATGGTTCTGATCTCTGCAGGACAATTATCTTTGTTCAGGGGACAATGTGTAGGGCAAGTGTTGCACCTCTTCTCTGAACCCAGATCACCCCTGACCTGTTCCCATATACATCTTTGTAGTATCAACACAGGGAAATCTTTCACAGCCCACTTGTCCTATAACCTCTCTGTAAGGTGGAGTTTTCCTCTCATGAGCTTTTACTGACCATTTCCTACAAGTTCTTTTGACTTAAAAATTCCATGTATTTTGGGAAAGGCAATCTTACCAGTTCTGCCTACTACTGGGGCTAAGGGGACTTTACAGGAAGTGAATGGGCATTTAACTATTGTTAAATAACTCATTAGGCAATAAAGATGGCCCAACCCAGTCTTCTTGACCTTGGATCTGGATAAGTTCCATCTATACGATTCCTCAGTCTGAAAAGGACTTTATTTACAGGCCTGCTGATTGCATATAATGGTAAAATAAATCACTAAAGACAAATGGTTATTATTTTAACAAAAGATAGAAACTGTAGGAATAGGAGGAAATTACTAAATATGGTAAAGACCACACATGAGAGTCCACAGCTAACACATTACTCCACGGAGAGTCTCTGAAAATAGTACTAAGATCATGAATAAGACATGGATGCTGTTTTACCCCTAATTCAACTAGCCAGGAAAATCAGGCAAGAGGATGACATAAGAGATATTCAATTTAGAGAGGAATAAGAAAATATCTTTTTAAAAAAGACAACATAATCTTATTGTAGAACACCCTGAAGATTTCACCACATACATACCTAAAACAACTATTATAACTAACAAAACGATGAAGTCGCCAGAGACAAAATCAACACTCAGCATCATTTCCATTCTTTAAACAAAAATGAACAATCCTCAAATAAAATAATGAAAATAGTTCCATTTACAATAGCATCAAAAAGACTAGATGCTTAGGGTTAAACATAATAAGGTGGAAGATGAATACACTGAAAACTACCAAACAATTCTGAAAGTAAAGAAGCAACAAATAACTGGAAAGACATCCATGTTCATTGATTCCAAGACCACCAGCTATCTACATATTTGAAACAATCCCTATCAAAAGCTCAATTACTTTTTTTCATAAGTAAAAAAAAAATATCCAACCCAGAAATTATGTGGAATTTCAATGGATCCCAAATGTTTGCAACAATCTTATAAAGGATGAACTGAAATTTGAGGTATCAAAGTTACTAATTTCATATCCTACTACAAAGGGAAAGTAATCAAAATATTTACACTGGCATAAAGGCTTCTATTTGTCAAAAGACACAACCAAACGGTTTTGATAAAGGAGCTAAGACTTTTCAATGGAGAAAGGACAGTCTTTTGAAGAAATGCCATTGAACAGCAATGTCTACATGCAAACAAATAAAGGGGTCCATTGCTTATACCATACACAACAATTAAGTCAAAATAGATTGAATCCTAAAGGTAAGAACTAAAATTATAAAACGCTTAGAAGAAAACATAAGGGTAAGCAGTATGGCATTGGATTTGGCAGTGATTTCTTGAATATGAAACTGGAAACTCAGGCTAGAAAAGATTAGATAATTTAGATTTTTGTCAAAATGGATAACTTCTGTTCATCCAAGGACACAATCAACAGAGTGAATTGTGATGTGTGGAATGGTAGAAAATCCTTTACAAATCATTAATAGGATGAGGGGTTAATATGCAAAATATATAAAGATCTACTACAACTCAAAAACAGCAACACCAAATAAACTGATTTAAAAAATGGGGAAACCTCATGAATACACATTTCTCTAGAGAAGATATACAAATGGTCAATAAGCCCAGGAAAAGATGCTCAACATCACTATCATAAGAATAACATAAATCAAAACTCTCAAAGTTGCTGCTTGTGATATTGAGAGTGGGTAACTCCACTGAGAAGGTAACAGGAGAACACTGCCCTGTGGGACACTTGAGTCCTCCAAGCCTTCTTCAATCAGTGTTGGCACCTCTCAGCTCTCATCAAACATAAAGGAATAAGGCAGGTCTATGTATCACAAGACAAATGCCGGGGCTCTGTGCCCTCAGAGAACTTAAACCCTCTATGTCTGGGAGAAAGCACAGCCTCTCTCAGGAGCCAAGACTTTTCAATGGATAAAGGACAGTCTTTTCAACAAATGAAGGGAGCCATTCAATTGATTAGCCACATTTGTTTGTGAAAAAAAGAGAACCTAAAGTTAGAGACACTCTTTCCCCCTAATCCTCCCGCACCTCTCCTGGTCCTTCACTGAGCAGCTGACTGCAATTTTTTCTAGCTGCACAGAACTTCATTGCCCAGACAAGGTGTGTTTCTAAGAGGCACAATTTCCCAGGATATCCTAGAGACTCATTGGACCAGAATTAAAACAGGGGACCAGGATCAAACCTGTGGTCACTTGACTACTCAGGCCCCGGGGCAAAGAGCAGGGTCAGGCCTTCCCAGGTGAGTGTGACTGACATGAGCCAGTGAGCCAATAAATGATAGAGCAGAGCCCAAGGAATAAGCCTGAAAGGAGTGAAGGGACAGGCAGGATCTGATTGTGGCAGCAGAACCATATGCTTTGCCCTTGGTCATTAAAGTCATTCTCCCTCTGGGGAGGGCAGGTGAGGCTTATGCAGATGCAGAAGGGGTGATGAATGTAAAGAGGGGAACATGGATTGCTGATATTTGGACCATTGTGGACCATTTGTGTTTGGCGGTTATGAGACAGAAAATTGGAAACATACTAAAATTACCCCATATGCAAAAATTACTATTAATACTCAAGGGCCTAAGAGCAATAGCAGGAAGGACTATTTCTCTAGAAAATAGCAAATGGTGTGAGACATGGGTCTCAATCCCTAGAGTGACAGGGAGCCTTTCCCATGTGGCCAGAATTCCAAGGACTCTGCATTCAGGTTTCAGCCTCTGAAGAGATCTTAGCTCATTCCTTCCTTCAGTAGCCATTTATTTCTTCCTAATTCATCAAAACAGCCCAGTGTTACATCTTGATCCCTTAGCTGATTGCAAGTGTAAAATGGGGAGAGCGCAGGCCAAGTCCTTTCCTTTATGTCCAGTGGGAATGACACCAACACATCAGGAAACAAATCAGTGGTTTCCCCTCCAGTGCAAGGAAGGGTGGATCAGCCACCTGAGGGGAAGGTGTGGGTGTTCCCAGCACTGACTGATTATTAGTGCAGGTAATATGGTTCTAGAGTACAAATAAATTAATTCTCCATTTGTTGTTATTTTCTAGACCACAGTCTCTCTCTCTGAACGGGGGATGCCTGAGGGAAGATCTACCAATGTTTTCTTTAGGGATCCCTCTGAGATGGAGGAGAGGTAATGGCTGCAGACAGACCTTGAGTCACCCTCATGGTCTGTGTGGCTCTGCTTTAGTGACTATATCTCCCTGTGCCTTGGTTTCCTCTCAATGCAGTACTATGAACATATGACTGCCAGGGTGTCAGTGTATTAACAATAAAATATTCAAAGTATCTGACTAAACATTGGGACAGGGGACCTGCTCAAATGAGGGACATCTGTTATTGATCAACTCCAAGATAGAATCTCCTGGGCTGATCCCTGGTGGATGAGGAGCTGCCAGGAGCATCTTTCCTCCTTTTTGTTCCCTGTGATTCTGACCTCTCTCTGGACTCTCCTAAATGTTTCAGTGTAGTTAACAAATGGCCTGGTGATCTTGTCCATCTGTGCTAGCCACACTCAGTCTCAGGTGAAGCACCACCCCTATTCAGATGTGGCTCATGGGGCTGAGCTCTGGCTTCTGAGCAGCTCAAAAACTTTGTGACTCAGACACCTGGGAAACCATTGAGCCCACTCAGCCCTTCCCAGGAGGTTAACCCCAACCTGACACTGGATCCCCAGGGTTCTTGGCATCAGAAACCCTGGGGCTGGGGTCTGGGCGGGGCTGCCAAAGCTGAGCTTCTTTATGAGGATTGCAGGGGGCTCCTCAGAATGTGCCCTGGCCGAGCCCTGCAGCGTCTTTCTCAGTGTAATGGTCATGAGGAGTGGCGGAGGGGAATGGACTGAGACTGTTCTCTCTTTGCTGAGCAAATCCCATCAGATCGGGCCTTCTCTCTGTGGAGAATATCTGCACGGCTAGAATTCAGGAGGGAACTCTGATCTTAGAAAGTTTGTCTCCACTGTGTGTGTCCTGCACTGAATGCCCAAACTCAACCTGGGAGATGATGCAGAGGGGGATGGAGGCAGAGTCCAGGGCTGTCAGTCCTGTGTGTTCACCCACCCAACACCCAGAGGTCAGAGAGCAATCACTCACCATACACATTGAGCTGTCCAAATCCTATTTCTTTTATACAGCCTGGAAGGTAGACTACTACAGTGTAGATTCCTGTGTCCTTCTGGGTGACCTGCTTTAATTGCAAGGATCCATCATAGTTTATTTGCTCTCGACCACTGTGTGCAGGCCCTGTTGTATAAAATCTCAGGTATGTTCCGAGAGTTGCAAGATTATGATAGATGTTTGCCCCTTCCCCCCTGTACCACGTGAAGCCTTTAGCATTGGGAGGCATATTGCGGATACGTAGAGTCACATCCTGTCCTTCGGCAGCATTGGTTGACACAATAGCGAGTTGGGCAGTGGTGGGCAGGCTCCAGAAATTTAAGAGTGAAACTAGGAGGGAAGAAAGAAATTGATCAATATTTGGATGTATATGTTGGGATGGAATGATGAGGCCCTGGATTTGGAACAAGTCTCTTCATCTCAGCCTTCTTGTGTGTGTGTGAGTGTTTGTGTGTGTTAGTGTGGTCAAGGTCAACAGCATGACCACCAGTACTTCAGCACCTGTGAACCTGTTACTTTTTCTCTTTCTCAGTCTCTATTCCAGGTGTCTGTTCAGCTCACCCACTCACTGCCCTCAGACCCCTCCTTACACTTAGGGTTGTCCATGGGAGGAACCTTCATGGAACACTTCGCTAAAGACTCTGTTAATGACTTTCTCACCTGACTCTGCTCTACTCTTTTTATAACACTTATGGGTACCTCACATCACATGTAGATATTTTCTTATCTCTCTCCACCCACATAATGTGAGCTCCATGGGGACAGGGGCTGGTCAGATCTTGCATCCCCAGCGCCTGCAACAGGCTGCAAATACCTGTGGGTGAATGAATGTTCCCAGAGTCCTACACCTCTTGGGGTGTTTTTCTCCTGAGGCTGTTGGTAAGGATGATATTTAGCACCCCTGATTAAGTTTTTCTCTGGTGCCACCAGACATAAATTGTTATTATTATGGTCACTTTCCAAAATTCAATACTCAGTGATGAATAACTTAGGAATTAACAGCAACTGAAGTTTCCCTGTCCCACTCCACTTCTAGATCATGAGATTTCCCAGTTACCTGTTACCCATATCCCTTACCCATCCTACTCTGCCCCCCTGTCCTCTCCCTTCAGGTCCACACAGAAGCCCTCACTCCACTCTCAGAGCGCTGTTCTCCCCAGGAGACCCCAGAAATTCCCCGTCTTTACCCCTTCACTCCACCACTCAGGGATTGTTCCTTCCTTACCGGCCAAAAGGAGCCCCTGCCAGGGGACAGGTCCTCTGCAGATAGGGGCTGAGAGTGACTCCATGGTGTCTGTGCCTGCACTGTGCCTCCTTCTATGAGAAGAACGTGGATTCCAGGAAAGCTCAAAGGCACCACTGTAGAAGCTGGTGGGATCTGCTGCCCCTCTTCACTGTGCACTGGGCCTCCTCCTGGTGCAAGGTCACTTACCTGGTCACGTGGACATGGGCGGAGTTTGTACCAAGGACCCACCTCCTCCTCCCCTCATTTTTGCCACCCTTTCCCCCTCCTTCCAGCTTGATTTTGGTTTCCTTGGAACTGCTGAGGTATCTGAACATACACACACACACACTCACATTCACACACACACACACACACACACACACACACACACACACACACTTACATGCTCTGTTTGGAAAAGCACCAGCCTGGGGCATTCAGGTCATGGGCATTCCACATGGCTCCAGTCAGGTGCACAGTAGCCTCACCCACAGCCCTCTCTCTTTCACATTTGACTTTTTCCTTCAAAGCAGGAGTTCTGTGCACACCTCAGGACCTCTTGTCACCGGGATGTCACCACCGCTGTGCATCGGATCACCTCTGAAACTTTGTAAAGATTGCAATGCTCAAGTGACACTGTAGATGCTGCTTCAGCAGCTGTCCAGCTAATGTGGATGCCCAACCAGAATGAGATCTGGTGATGTGGTGATGGGACACCCCTCCTCCTCTCCTGTGCACAGTGAGGGTCTCCACATCCTGTTAAAATGCAGATTCTGAATCTGCAGGTGTGCGGTGGACCAGAGACTCTGAATCTGATGAGGTCTCAGGGAAGGTGGGTCTTACTGGCCGGTGGAGTCCACTTGCACCAGCAAGGCTGATGGAGGCATGTGTCCCCTGAGAGGATGACCCTCTCACCCCAGCATTGTCCTCTGCTGTTTCTTGGTATTGGGTCCGTCAGCACCACACAGAGAGCCCCACAGGCCCCAAAGTGGGCAATGTTTCTGTTTGTAACACAGAAACCCAGCTGGCCACCTCGTGTGTCCCTTGTTCTCAAATGTGCTGGGAAGGTTAAATTTCCTCCCAGCAGGAAGACCACAAAGATGAGAGTGGGTGTGAGAAAGGGTCACGCTGGGTGACGACTGCAGAGGGTGCCCTCCCTCTATCTCAGGTTGTCACCAGCCTAACCTTTGCTTCCTAGAACAGAGACCCAGGACCAGGAGTCTCAGGAGGCCCTGCAGTTCCTGGGAGTGAAGGTGAAGGTGTCCTGCATGTCGTGGGAAGGGAGGGCTGTGTTGGGAGCTCAGGTGGTTGTGGGCTCCCTGGTCGTCAGGGGTAGTTACTTGGAGACTCTCCCTCTCTTGTTGGCTGAGCCTGTCCTGGTGCTCCCTGACCTTGGGGTGGTGTCTGTCCTCTGCCTGGGGGAGTTTCCTTTCATTACCCCACCTCATTCATGGGTGGTGCCAGGAATGGGATGGGGAGCAGCAAATAGAGCCCTGAGAAAGCAGGTGCTTTGGGGCCTGTTAAAGTAAGAAACTTCCCAACCTGTGAAGATTTTCATGAGTTTATTTGAACCAAGCTAACATCATATGCTTGGAACAAGATTTCAAATCCTGAGCTTGGCAGTTGTTCAACTTATTTTATACAATATAATAAAAAAATTAGTTGGAAAAAGTTGCGTTAAATCAATAAGGAAGTGAAGAAATCTCTCGAATTGATAAATAGCAAAAAAGAGAAACACATTTTTTTGGGGGGTCCAGGATAATCAACATTTACAGCGCATAGAGAGGTTATGCAAGGAACAAGGTAACATAAGAAGTATGTTGTCTCATATGCTGGTCCCAGACTCTGTGCTTTCAAATCATCTTGCAAAAAAACAACTACTCTGATGTGTCAACAGTATGGTATCCAAGATGCATAAGAACAGGGAACAGGGCTCACATAACGTAAAGTCTGACCGTTGCTAACGAAGCTGTAGGCCCGGGACATGACTTCCTGCCATCAACTGCCCTATTAGGAATTTGTGATCAGACCATCCTGTGCTGTTATTTTTGGTCACTGAGCTCCTTAGGCCTGCCATGTGACCCACTGGGCTTGTCAGGCTTATTTTACAGCCCTTTTTGTTGTTGTTGTTTTCTTCACAATCACTAGAAGTAGCAGGTGGGATACAGCAGTCATGAGGGCGGGGTCCAAAAGCATCTGTGGCAGCAGGGGATGAAAATCAGGCTCCTTCTTCAGCTCCTTAGGCAAAGCCAGGTTCATATATGAATTCCCTGTGTGTCTGTGTGTTGAAATGTCGCCCCCTGGAGAGCAGAAGTAGACCTGCAGCCAATGTCAGGTGCTGCACCAGGGATGTTGACCAGAGACTGAGAGCTGACCCTGACACCTGGGCAGAGGTGGGCTATGGCTAGTCAGTCGGGGTCCAGTCACTGTGGGTTCCAGGCCTCCTGACTCCATCCCAGAGCAGGGTGAGCCCAGTAACAGGACAGGATCTGGGGCTGCTTCCATCGCAGAGAGGCTGAGGTTCAAGCATATTATGAGTCCAGTGTCATGAGAACTGTCCCCTCTGGTGGATGTGCTGTTTCAGGAAGAACTCTCTGTCCCAAAGGTTTCAAGAACAGGACCTGGTGATGTCTCTTCTGAGGCTTTTCGTAGAGTGTGTCAAACTGGAGGGCTGATCCTCCAAATGCCCTGTGCGTCTCCATCATGGCATTGGGGTGTTGCATTCAAGTCACCTGTGTCCCTGTCCATCCTCTGCTTTAGTCCTCCCCACAGGACTCAGGATCTGAAGCAGCTCCAGTTGGCATGTCAACCACAGGAGCTGTGGGTCCCTCTGTTAGGGGAGGTGAGGACCCTGTGGGACCCTCAGTCTTCTGAGATGGAAGCAACCCCAGATCCTGGGTTCTCTTGTCCCATCCTGCTGAGAGTGTTCCCCTTGCTCCCCAAGACATCATGGGTGGGTGAGATGTTCAGGGATGCAGGCAGGTGTCCCACAGACCAGGGATATTCGGTTTGTGAATCATCCCCAGATTCATTTGAGGTCAGTGTGAGCTCTCTTTTCCCATGTTAGTACTTCTTCCTGGGGTGAAAGATCCAGAGTGTCTGCCAGGTAAGGACTCTGTGAGAAGACAAAGAACAGAGGCTGCTTTCCAGGACCAGGAATATGAGACATCACTCACAAGGTGGAAATTGGGAGGGATGTGATTTTCTGAGAATGAAGGAAGGTCTGACTCTTCACTGTTAGTTGGTCCTATCTCCCACCTTCCTGATTGTGTGAGGGGGAAAATCCCATCCCTGGGTCATAACCGGACACTTGTGGCCTCCTCCCATGCTGACACCAATGGCTTCGTGCCAATAAGGAACATAGTTTGACCACTAGTGTCACACATGGTGATAGGATTCCATTGGGTGGTTTCTCTCATCTATTTAATGAGTGCTTACTGAGCATCTGTGATGTGTCAGGTCTGGGTTGTTCCCTGGGACCTGGGTGAACAGGACATAGGTGGGACCTGTGCTTATGGAGTTTACCTTGTAACAAAGACAGGCTCTCAGAGAAATCACAGCACTAAGGAGTTAATTAAAATCTAGAGAAGGACCACGAAGAAAGAGTTGTATGTACTTGAGTCTCAGTTTGTCTGGGGATCACACAGAGCACTTCTGAGAAAGTGACCTCTTGGCTGAGACCTGAAGCATGAGTGGCCATTCACCCTTTGGACAGAGGGTGGTGGGGAAAAGCTGCCTGCAGAGAACTGGACTTTGGTGGGCAGAGGCCTGACTGGATAGAGGAGCTTTCGAATACCAGTGTGGGCAGTGTGAAGAGTGAGAAGGAATGTGGACTGAGTAATGCTGGTGAGGTTGGACCCTGCTGGGCTTTGGGTGCTGCTGAGGTGGTGTCTGCAGACACCTGAGGAGGCTGCAGGCTGTGGAGTAGCTCACCCCTCTTTTATGGAAAAGCTAAAAAATGTGTACGAAAAAAAAGTCACGTTACAGTTTTGAATTTTCTATTC